CAAAGTCATGCAAAATCCCTTGTTTCCAAGAGAGCAATACTGAAATAGTTTTGAGTTGGCAGCCGAATTCTCGCCATTTTTAAGAGAGACCAACAGATTGGGAGCTGATTTCAGGCCTTACAGTTTCTTGGGATAATTTTCAGAGTTTTTGGTTTTTGTTGTTGTTTTTTTTTAAAAAGGGAACAGGATTGCAGTCGACCTTTCTTATTATTTTGCTTGGGTTTGATGTATTGCTGCATTTTCTATTTCAAAAGTACGGATTGAAAATTCATTTAAACTTTTCTATCCTAAGAGACAAGAACACTGAAATCTCAACTGTCAGGCTCCATTGTTTGGGATAACTAATGTCTCCAGTGGCTACAATATATTTTTTTTTAAAAAAGAGATCTCCCCCCCCCCAGTGGCTTTTTTAAAAAAAGGCAGGGGGAGGAGGGAGGGAGAGAGAGAGAGAGAGAGAGAGAGAGAGAGAGAGAGAGATTTACTGTTTAAGCTATTACACCATTCCCAAGGCCTTAAACCTGCTATGTGAATTGCACCTAAGAAAGGATCTGTAAACTTTTAAAGTTGTTTTTGAACAAGGGTTGAAGCTGGTAAGAATGCTTCCTGGTTCCAATCAAACAGAAGTGTGGCAGGATGTTATTAAAAATGTATCTTTGTATCTTTTTTATTTTTATTTTGCAAAATGGGAAATGAAAAGTGTGTAAAATTTAATTTTGGGGGAAACAAAGTCCTTTTGGATATTTTCTTGAGGAAAACTTTGCAGGAATAAAAAAACCTTTTTTTTTAAAATGCACTTTCTTTTCCTAAAAGCAATAGCGCTCCCTTTTCCAAAATAAATGAAATGGGTATGCTAATATGTTTAATGTTAGCATGTGGGGCACAGTTCTTGACTGTTAGAGAAAGTATGGACAATTCTAGAAAAACTGCAAACGTTCTCTGTTTGATATTTGATATTTTTTTTACTTGCCTTCTAGTAAAGGAGAGAAAAAAGTGGGTAGGTTAAAATATAGAACAGAATCTTTTGCAAATTGGGCAGATAATGCAGCATTATAAAGGTGAAGAGAAGGATTTAGGACACGTTTTGATTTTTTTAGCCCACGCGTGTGCTATACGTTGGAAGCAAATCCATTGTTCTGCGTATAATTCATCAGTTGCTTTTTCTGATTTCCCTCACTAGTTATTTAGTTTTTGAATCTGTCATTATTTGTCTAAGCACAGCTGACCAAGCAAAACCATGTTTTAAAGTGGGCTTTATGTTTTGATAAATGTGATCTGGTTGAAAAAGTATTTTTCGACTGAATGCCGAGCTTAATAGAACATGCTGACATAATAGTTTTAATGCATTTTGTTCAAAATGTGTGAATAAACAGAATGGCTTTTGTTCCTTCATAATTGGCTGGAAAAGTAGAGGGAGCATCATCATTAGATATGGAAATGGGAGAAGAGAAAAGAAAAAAAATGTTTCACCTGACATTATTCAGAACTGGCTCCTGTAGTTTTTGAAACAAGCATCTAAAAGGGATACAGCATTTAAGATTAGTTGTCAAAATACAGTGCTTTAAATTGAGTGTACATGTGTGTGTGTGTGTCTGTCTGTGTGAAAGTACACACACATATACACACAAGTATATGTAGTGTTAGACAATAAAATAACCACAAGGATGTATGCAAATTGTTGCATTTAATATTTTACTTCTTGCCAAGCAATCAAAATCCTAAAATTCTAATCACGTACATCTGCTAATAGATTCCTAGTTACTAACTTCAATACACAACATTGTCGAACTTTTTTTCTTTCTTTCCTGTTTTCAAATTCTGGAGACAGGGTAACTTAAAACAAAAGTGTGCGTCTGGCACCCATGTCACACACTATATGGCATTTAAAAGGGGGGGGGAAATCGATGCCATTTTTTCTTTTTTTTCTTTTTTGGTAGGTCCAATGACTGTTTTGAACTTGGATTGGTTTTAACTTGTAAAAAGAAAAGGGGAAATTGTATATTCTCTCCCTTTTTGTCTTCTCCATCCTCAGAATTTTTTTTAATGTTTCTCCCACCCACCCCCACCCCTTCGAAGATTTAATTTGGAAGTCATGGAAACTACCTATTATCTGATTTTAGTGTTGCAGGAGAACAGGGAGGGAGGTAATCCTTGAATTAAATGGGCTTCCCCCCCCTTCCCTGTCTTTCTAAGTTGACCACACACACTCTGTACAAGGGAATTTTTTGTCCTCATGCTGTGAGAACAATAGGGAACCATCCTTCCTTTGAATAAGATCAGCTAGTTTGAAGGCAGAGGAAGAATATATTTTTTTTGAGGAGGGGGATAACGTTTAATTTACAAATGGATCTTGGTGATAAGAAAAGGCAGCAACTAGTGATAACAAACCTGAAATGAAAGGGACTTTCCCCCCCCCTCTCCCTAATGAAAGGTTCAGAGCTATCGCTTAAACAATCGAGAACAGTTAAAAGCAAAGAGTTTTGATAGGGTCACAAACAAGGAAGATTGCAAGGCATAATCTGCCTTAACAATCCAAATTGATTTCTTATTGTATAGAAACATTTTCTCTTAGCTGCTCATCTTCTTTCTTTCTTTTAACCCATTTCATGCTCTTCGCACCCCTCCTGCCTCTTATCCAGAAATGTAACATATTTTATAATGCTGTTTTTATAGATGGGAGCTTATAATCTAACCTCATCTGTGTGGTAGTAAAATGACAGTGACTTTATGGAGTTGGCAGGCTGGTGTCTAGTCTAAGTGGGGCTACCCTAAGTTTTACCATGGTATATGTGAGGTTAGAAGGAGCATGATTTTTTTAAAAAAAGACTACCGCCCATTGATCCGAAGCACGTGTCCCTGGAAGCGAATCTTATTGATTAGGAAGGAACCGGTTTGCAAGCGGTGTAGTGGTTTACTAGCTCCTCGGTAGTTCCTAAAAGTTCAGGGGGCTTGTTTGGAGAAAGGACTTTTTGTAAGCTAAAGCTAACAATATGTTTAGGCACCTGTGGAGCCAGGCCAAATGTGTTTATCAGAAAAGAAATTGCATCGCATAAAAGTCTGTTTGGGCTTTGCTGAGCAACAATAAACTTCAAAGAACACTGAGGTCTTCTGCTAAGTGCCATGAGAAAGATTGAGCAACAAACCCTTGATTGTGAAAAACACGGATATTCTTCTCTGACAGGCCATCCCTTTCTTTCTTGCCCCTCGAAATAACAGAATGAACAAATGGAAAACAAGGCTTTGCCGGAGAAGAAACAGTTAGCTTGTGTGTTCCTTAAGAGCTCAAAAGATTGTTTTGTTTGTGGCCAACCTGAAGCTCTGGTGACATGCGGTCTTTTTCTCCTCTGTGTTCCCCATCCTGACCTGTTCACTGATGGAGATATGGAAGGACCACAGATTAGTTCAGGGATAGGGTGAGTGTCCAAGAGATTTTTGAAGCAGCCAAAGATGAACAAAGGTTGAAGGAAACGTAAAAGAGTCAAATGAATCAACAGATGGTTGGTTTTCCGTTTGGTGGATCACGAGGTGATAAACAGAACAAAATGGACAGAACAATCAGTTTCTTGCTATGGAATTTGATGTACTATATGCCCCATGTCTTCAATTCATGCTATTTTATATTACTATGGATTATTTGGAGGACCCATCACCTTAGACACGAATGTCGATTTAAAGGTCGACTTGTGCAGCCTTAAAACTCAATGGACAATTGTGGGAATTTATATTTGTTCTCACCCTGCTTTGTGTGCATCTGATGGTCCAAACTTGATTTTATTCTGGCCACTAAAACGTCTTTAAAAAAAAGAAAGAAATGAAAACTGTAAGGTCTACAGGTTTTCTTGCCAGTTTTTAGCAAATAATGTCATCCAAAGGCGAGGTATGGCTTAAGGGAAGAATGTCCTTCCTAGATGAAAATTTGAGCATGGAATATAAATACCTTAATCTGCTTTCATCAGATTCCTGAAATGTTCCCCTTTTTCTATCTATCATTTCATGGAGAGTAGCTTAAAGAGTTTATGTTGTTTTTGTCACAAAGAAAACTAATATCTGATGTTCAGTTTGAGCAATGGAACATTATCCTTCAGATTTCATATTTCTCTGAATTGGGACATGATATATGTTCCACCCAGGAAGTGCTTGAAAGATTTAAAACCTCTATTCATGCAGAACTGGGATTGTAGTGCAAATACCTATGGAGCTGAATTCTATTCCTAGTTGTATTCCAATTGTATCTCAATTCCTAGTTTAAAAAGCCTGAAAGCTCCATGTTTTATTTTTCTGTCCTTATGTTTTTGAAATCGGTGCAAGAAGATAGGCGTTCCTTTGTAGAAAAATTATAATAATTATCTTATAATATGTTGTGCTGAATAAAACTGGTGGGACACCTATCACACTGATCATGGGCAGAGAGCTATGCAATCCATCATTTTTGTTGTGAACTCCTTTCCCCATCATGAGGTTGAATGTTTAAGGATCATCTCAGAAAGCCACAACCCATCATATCCTATAGATTCACATTAGTAACTTTAAAAAAATGGTAATGGCAGACTAGGACACCCTTAAGCCAGCATAGCTGGCTGAGGAATTCTGGGCACTGAAGTTCACAAGTCTTAAAGTTGTCAAGGTTGCAGACCCCTGACTTAAGTGACATGAAAATTCCATAACTCTGTAGCTGTCCCTTGTTAAAAAGGAAAACCTTTAGAAAAATGGAGGACATGAAACTTGAGACTTTAAATAATGACATATTAATTCAGCGATAGGCTGATTGTCCAAGTTATTTGAACAGCCAAAGATGAACAATCTTGAAGGGAACATCAGACTCAAATGAGTTGGTTGAGTTTTCCATTTCCCTCCCAAAAAAGAATCAAAGGGAGAAGAACTCTTTAGGGATGAGATGAACTTAACATCTCCTCTGGTTGGCTTCTTTTTTCCTTGTGACCTATTTATATTTCTGTACAATTGTTAATTTTGCTTCTTTTTTCTCTCTCTCTCTCTTCCCCACCCCTTGCTTTGGGCCTATAGGAGATGTGCAGAAGGGTCAACCCAATCGGACCCACAAGACAAAGGATGCCCATGTCTGTGGCAGATGTTGCGCTGAGTTCTTTGAACTTCCAGACTTGCTACAACACAAGAAGACCTGTACTAAAAACCAACTGGTTTTAATTGTGAATGAAAACTCTGTATCTCCTTCGGAAGCCTTCCCTCCTAGCCCCCCTAAAGATAATTCCGATGAACGGAAGAACAATACAGATAATAACGTGGATCAAGTTGAATGCAGCAGCGTTCCTGAGCAAGGCGACAAACTTGACAAGGAAGAAACTATGGATCTAGAGTCTTCTTCCAGTGTTAGCAAAAGCACTAGCAGTACTTCCCAGACCGTCAACAGTAGTATTGCAAGCAGTAACTGCTCCACAAAGGGTACCTCAGCTCTTACAACCTCTCTACCTCAACTGGGGGATCTAACCATGCTGGGCAATTTCTCCGTGATCAATAGCAACGTTATCATCGAGAACCTTCAGAGCACGAAAGTAGCGGTGGCCCAGTTCTCTCAGGAAGCACGCTGCAATGGCACCTCAACCAACAAGCTGGCCGTCCCTGCCCTAATGGAGCAACTGTTGGCTTTGCAACAGCAACAGATCCATCAGCTGCAACTGATTGAACAAATCCGTCACCAAATATTATTGCTGGCTTCCCAGAACGCAGACTTGCCAACGTCTCCCAACCCGCCTCAGAGTACAGTACGAGCATCAGCCAACCCCTTGTCGACGTTAAGTTCCCATTTATCCCAACAGCTGGCTGCAGCAGCTGGATTGGCACAAAGCCTCGCTAGCCAGTCTGCCAGCATTGGTGGTATGAAACACCTATCTCCTCTACAGCTACCTCAGAGCAATTCTGGCAACACTACGATTCCATCCAGTAGCGGCTTATCTCCAAGTATTAGCCTAGCTACCGCAGCAATTACAACGTCACCTTCTGACAAAGTGATTACAAACGCTGGTGGTCCACCACTTGGCAACCCGCCAGGGACCATGTCATCATCGCCAGCTTTTGCAATAAGCAGTTTATTAAGCCCTGTATCAAATCCGCTTCTACCTCAACCCACTCCTAGTAACTCTGTGTTCCCCAATCCTTTATCCAATCTCGGAACACCCGCAGAGGACTTAAACTCGTCGTCTGCTTTGGCCCAGCAGAGGAAAAGCAAGCCGCCCAATCTAACCGCCTTTGAAACGAAAAGTAATTCGGACGAAGCGTTCTTCAAACATAAGTGCAGGTTCTGCGCAAAAGTTTTTGGGAGCGACAGTGCCTTGCAGATCCATTTACGTTCTCATACTGGGGAGAGGCCCTTCAAATGCAACATCTGTGGAAACCGGTTTTCCACCAAGGGGAATTTAAAAGTCCACTTCCAACGGCATAAAGAAAAATACCCTCACATTCAAATGAACCCGTATCCAGTACCAGAGCATTTAGACAACATTCCCACAAGTACGGGGATTCCGTATGGGATGTCCATACCACCAGAGAAACCGGTCACCAGTTGGTTGGATAACAAGCCAGTGTTGTCAACTTTGACCCCATCTGTTGGCCTGCCACTTCCACCCACAATTCCAAGCTTGACACCTTTTATCAAAACAGAGGAGCCTCAGCCCATTCCCATCAGTCACCCTTCATCTAGTCCTCCATGTTCTATCAAAAGTGACTCTGGTTCCATTGATCCTGCAGGGAAGAACTCCAATGGGAATCTGGCAGAAGGGGAAATGGGTGCTTTGCTGTCTTCAAGTGACAAGCCAGAAGAAAGCATGCCCAGTGTTTCCTCTAGTGTGAATCATTCTGTAACCTCCCCAGCGGCAGAATCGGATTCCAGCAATGCGGTTGCTTTTACCAATCCCCTGTCTCTCATGTCCGACCAGTTTAAGGCCAAGTTTCCATTTGGAGGGCTGCTGGATGGAATGCCAGCCTCGGAGACCTCAAAACTGCAGCAACTTGTAGAAAACATTGACAAAAAGGCAAGCGATCCAAACGAGTGTCTCATTTGCCACCGAGTGCTCAGTTGCCAGAGTGCTCTGAAAATGCACTACCGCACACACACTGGTGAAAGGCCCTTCAAGTGCAAGATCTGTGGCCGGGCCTTCACTACAAAAGGCAATCTAAAGACCCATTACAGCGTCCATCGTGCCATGCCACCATTAAGAGTGCAACATTCCTGCCCCATCTGCCAGAAAAAGTTCACCAATGCAGTTGTGTTGCAGCAGCACATTAGGATGCACATGGGGGGCCAGATCCCTAACACACTTGTGACTGACTATCCTGAGTCAATGGAATCTGATACCGGCTCGTTTGATGAGAAGAACTTTGATGATCTGGATACCCTCTCTGATGAGAACATGGAAGACTGTCTTGATAGTAGCGTACCAGACACCCCTAAGTCTGCAGATGCATCTCAAGATAGTTTATCATCCTCCCCGTTGCCACCAGAAATATCGAGTATTGCTGCTTTAGAAAACCAGATGAAGATGATCAATGCAGGGCTGGCTGAACAGCTCCAAGCGAGTTTAAAATCTGTGGAAAATGGATCAGTCGAAGGAGACATTATGACAAACGATTCTTCATCGGTTGGGGGTGATATGGAAAGTCAAAGTGCTGGAAGTCCTGCCATTTCGGAGTCTACCTCTTCCATGCAGGCCTTGTCCCCATCCAACAGCACAACGGATTTCTACAAATCACCAGGCATGGAAGACAAACTGCTACGGACTTTACCAAACGACTTTGCCAACGGTTGGCCTGTCACCCTTGCCAACGGTGGTGCTTTGGACTTGACATCAGGCAATCCAGAAAAAATGGTGAAGGAAGAGCCACTGGGCATGTTGTTTCCTTTCCGCGATAGAGGCAAACTTAAAAACACGGCGTGCGACATTTGTGGCAAAACGTTTGCTTGTCAGAGTGCCTTGGACATTCATTACAGAAGTCATACCAAAGAGAGACCGTTTATTTGCACAGTCTGCAATCGTGGCTTTTCCACAAAGGGTAATTTGAAGCAGCACATGTTGACACATCAGATGCGAGATCTACCATCACAACTCTTTGAACCCAACTCCAACCTTGGCCCAGCTCAGAACTCTTCCTCCATCATACCTGCAAACTCTCTCTCGTCCCTTATAAAAACCGAGGTCAACGGTTTTGTACATGGCTCTCCTCAGGACCACAAAGAGACACTGCCCAGTTTGCTTCCTTCGGGACCTTTGCTGCCTTTGGCGACGTCACCAGTCTTACTTCCAACTCTGCCTCGGAGGACACCCAAGCAGCACTTCTGCAACACGTGTGGAAAGACCTTCTCATCTTCCAGTGCTTTGCAGATCCACGAACGGACCCACACAGGAGAGAAGCCTTTTGCTTGCACAATTTGTGGAAGAGCTTTTACCACCAAGGGCAACCTTAAGGTACTCTCCCTCCCTCCATCTTACAATGTTCTGCTTTTTTCTCTAGCTGCCCACTTGTGCCTGACAGGATTCACATTTTGCGCTAAGCCATAATGGATCAATTTGGTATTTGGTGTCCCCTGTTGGGTGGATTTAGCCCACTGTGTTTTGCAAACCTTGGTGTTATGGCTTGGCATGTGGTGTGAACCTCAAGGAACCCTGGGTGAACAAACAGTATCTCAGCAGGATGCGTTCACTGGGCCATCATGAGTGGCCCACAGGATCGGGGATGTTGATTTATCTCAGTGCTTTTTGCATGATGAACATGACTTCTGTACAGGTAGTCTTTGACTTACAATAGTTTGCTTAGTGACCGTTCAAAGTTACAAAAAGCGACTTATGACCATTTTTCACACTTACAAGCATTGCAGCCTCCCCACGGTCATGTGATCAAAACTCGGGTGCTTGGCAACCGACTCATATTTGTGACGGTTGCAGTGTCCCGGGATCGTGTGATCTCTTTTTTGCGACCTTTGGACAAGCAAAGTCAGTGGAGAAGCCGGTTTCACTTAACAACCGTGTTACTAACTTAACAGTTGTAGTGATTCACTTTACCACTGTGGCAAGAAAGGTTGTAAAACGGGGGGAAACTCACTTAACAAATGTCTCACTTAGCGACAGAAATTCTGGGCTCAGTTTTGATTGTAAGTTGAGGACTACCTGTATATCCAGCAGGGTTTTCATGTGAGTTGTGAAGGGCTATATCCATGCATTCTGAAAACATGGTCAGTTCAATCACGGCTGTTCTTATGGGTGTATAACTTCCATGATTTTGCTTTTTCCAGGGATAAAATTGCAGCTAGAAATTCAATCGAGCACATAACCCTTAGATTGCCAATCCTGGAATAATAAGTGTATAACATTTAAAAAAAATAGAGGAAGGAGCTCTTTTCTTAGATATAAATAGATTAAAGGATTTACAAGTAGCGTTTGAGTTACGACCAAAATGAAGCCTGCCCGTCATGGTCATAACTCGCAAGAGTCCTAATAATTTTGAAAGCTTTTTTTGCAGCAGTTGTTAAACGAATCCACAGTCATTAAGTGAACCAATAGTTCACTACAGGAGGGGCTTTGCAGCAAACTGGAAGTAAGCACCAGTTTTTGGCAAAACCATTGTAAAACCTGGTCATGTGACTGAAGGACACTGCAAACAGCCATAAATAGAGTTGATGAGCATCTGAAGGGGGATTCTGACCATTGAAGTTCAAATCTGGGTCATAAGTACCCCCTCCCCCCATAGGTCCATCAGAACTTCAAACAGTCCCTAAGTGGCTGGACATAAATAAAGACTACCGGTACGTGTGTGTGTATGTCTGTGTATGTTTGATCACGTCATGTGCTATCCCTGTGATTTCACACTGCAGAATTGATATGGATTTTTGGGGGGGATTTTGGGAAAAGCTACGGGAGGAGAAGAATGAATATATTTGTAAGTGCTGAGGGACCAGGCTTTGATGGGTTTTTCCCCCCCGCAATCCTTTTCTTTGGATCCTTCTGCATACTTTTCCTGATTGTGACTTTCTCTGTAACTCCTTCCTTATCTTTCATCCCTATTTTAAAAATCAAAAATCTGACCAGAACTTGCATGTGTGTTAAACAGAAGCACGTCCATTCCCTTGCAGTCCCAAATTGTGCTCCCACGAGATAAAAATTCGAAATTTAGAAGTATTCAAACTTTAGACATTTAGATAGAAATTCAAAATTTAGAAGAAATTTAGAATGGGATCGTTTCTGCTAAATGAGAAATTAGTTAATTACTACTGCTACTACTACTACTACTACTACTAGTAGTAGTAGTAGTAGTAGTATTTTGCTGGGGCAAAGTTCTTTTTTTTTTTTTAACTAAAGCTTCAACTCTTAAGATTCTAGATTTTATCACTGACTCTCCTGCGTACGTATAATTAGAAATGTTGGTAAAGCAACTTTTAAATGGAGTTTTGTTCTCCTGTTCACCCCACTGCCTGGCTGAGCATTCCTCTAGGAATGATTGCAAAAGATATGAAATTAAAACATTGGTATCAGGTGTCGTTTTAACGTCAAACGGTCGTATAAAAACTGGACAGGACTTGAATCACCCTGTTATGATGGCCGCCTTGATTTATTTATTTTTTTTTGGGGGGGGGGAAATCCCTGGCCTCTCTGTACATGAGATGAGCAGCAAACAAAGAAATACAGGTAATCCTTGATTTACAACAGTTCATTTAGTGACCGTTGAAAGTTACAATGGCGTTGAAAATGAGGCTTTTTCACACTTACGACCTTCGCAACAATCCCCGTGGTGTCATGGGATCAAAATTCAGACGCTTGGCAACTGGTTCATATTTATGCTGTGTCCCAAGGTCATGGGATCCTCTTTTTGTGACCTTCTGACAAGCCAAGTTAATGGGGGGGAAAGGTCATAAAAATGGGGCAAACCTCACAACAAATGTCTCAATTAACAGCAGAAAATTTGGGCTCAGTTTTCATACATTGAGGACCACCTGAATTTCAAACTCTACAGTCTTGACCCTCTTCTAAATTAGATTCTGTCCTCATTAATGGCCGTTCAAGCTCATCTCAGGTCAGAGGTGACAGCTCCCCCCCCCCCCAGATTATAAAAATCTGATGTGCAGTTTTTGACATTTGCAGCCCATTTTTCTTCAACGTGAAACGAACTAATTGATTACTTTATTGATCAGCCCACGGGCCATATAATAAGGTGCAGAGTTCCAAACACACGTTATACTAAAATGCAGTAAAAAACAATTTAAAAGGGAATTGGTTAAAATACAGTTTAAAACAAAATAGAAACAAAATACAATTTCCAATGAAATTGGGATAAAACGCACTTTTAAAATGAAATTAGAATCAAAGCCAGCCATTTGACATGTAGAGAGATAAAATAGGATAAAATTATATTTCACTATCGCCCCTGCAATCTACCCCAACTAGTCTCACCTATGCCGATCTTAGCCGAACCATTTTGCTCAGGTACTGTGCTGTGTTAAACGTAATTTTCAAATTCTGGCTGCACATAAGGTAAGTTATTTTGATATGGGGGTCCCAGTGGGTCATTTGTTTAGTGCAGGGGTAGGGAACCTTGGCTCTTTTATGACTTGTGGACTTCAACTCTCAGAATTCCTGAGCCAGCTGGCTCAGGAATTCTGAGAGTTGAAGTCCACAAGTCATAAAAGAGCCAAGGTTCCCCACCCCTGGTTTAGTGTATAGGCCAAGGTACCTGTCTCTCACCCTCTTATACAGGTAGTAGTCAAATAGGACATGAGCCAGGTCCTTGACCTCTGTCGCAGATGCAGAGACATCCATTATAAGGTGGAATAATGGAATCTCCCATATCTGACCATTGTGTCGAGCTATTCAAATTTCGCTCGCGTGAATATTTCCCTAAGACATTTTGGCAGTTGTAACTTCAAATAGCTGTCTGCTTGAAAAGTGCGGGAAACTAACTCAAGGTGGTACCTTTTGAAATTTACTCGAATCCTACTCAGTGCATGGACCAAATCCCAAACTTATTTTTAGCAAAGTCGTTCTGTGGTGTGTATCTTCAAATCCTACTGTAGATCTACTTGGGGCTGGAGAACAAGACTTGGTGGTGATAAGAGACTCACCCAGTCAATAACACAGATAGGAATTCTGCTGTCCTGTTGCTTTGAGCTAGATTTTCCTCAAACTCTAGTTGTTGATGATATTGATAGGTCATGTTCTTCATTCCCACCTTAGACCAGAGGTGGTAATTCACATGTTGCTCAATTGCCCTCTCCCAGCTTCTGTAGGACACCCAATAGTGAAGAACACTGAGCTGTAAACCATCAACCTCTGTAGGTATAACTTCCTCCTGTTGGAGGCTAAATCATGATGAATGGTTGTGGGAGTTAGATATGTCCAGTTTATTGAAGAGAAGACTTAAGTATGACATGATAGCTATTTTTCAGTACTTGAGAGCCTGTCAAAGAGAAGAGAGGATTGGCTTATTCTCCAAAGCACCTCAGGGCAGGACAAGAAGTAATGAGTGGAAACTTCTTGAAGAGAGATCCAAATTTTCTGACACTGAGAACGATTAATCAGTGGAACAACCTGCCTCCAAAAGTTGTGGGTGGTCCATCAGTGGAGGTTTTTCAAAAATAGCCTGGACAACCATTTGAGACTAGGATGGTATGAAGCTCCTGCAATGAGTAGGAGGTCGGACTGAGGTCCTTTCCAGCCCTGTGATTCTATGGTATATGTTCTATGCTTAGCTTAAGGCCATGGGTCTCCAAACTTGGCAACTTCAAGATTTGTGGATTTCAGTTCCCAGAATTCCTCAGCCAATGGACTTCAATTCCCAGAATTCTGTGCTGGCTGAGGAATTCTGGGAGTTAAAGTCCACAAATCTTAAAAATGCCAACTTTGGAGACCCCTGGTTAGACCATAACACTCAAGAGAGAGGCTACTGCATTTAACCTACCTAACTGCCGCTGCTTTTTCAGGTGCACATGGGAACTCATATGTGGAACAGTGCTCCCGCCAGACGAGGCAGACGGCTCTCCGTGGACGGGCCCATGACTTTCCTCGGAAGCAACCCCATCAAATTTCCAGACATGTTTCCAAAAGATTTGGCCGTGAGGTCGGGAAACGGTGACCCTTCTACCTTCTGGAATCAATACGCTGCTGCCTTCTCCAACGGTTTGGCCATGAAGACCAACGAGATCTCGGTCATTCAGAATGGGGGGATCGCCCCGGTTCCCGGGAGCCTGGGCAACGGCAGCAGCTCCCCCATCAGCGGTTTGACCGGCAGCCTGGAGAAACTCCAGGATTCAGAACCTAATGGGCCTCTAGCTGGTCTGGAGAAGATGGCAGGCAGCGAAAACGGGATCAGCTTCCGGTTAACCCGCTTTGTGGAGGACAGCAAAGAGATTGTAACAAGTTAGGACAAAAGATGGCGGATACTTGTGCAGTTGTTGCAACCGAAAGTGGGTTGGGGAGGAGGTTGTGTTGGGTTTTTGTTTTTTTTTCATTTCGTTTGTTTGTTTTGTTTGTTTTGGCAAATCCACAACACAGAAACATTAAAGACACATCCTTTTGTACCTGTTCGACATCTAGAATTCTAAAACAGCTTATTTATTAGTGATATAACTTTTTTTTGGTTTGTTTGTTCTTGGCTTTGCAGGGACATGCAAGTGTTAAGTTTTTTGGTCTTCTGTAAGTTGAAGTAAATACTAATTGACTAGAGTGCTGTAACATTTATAGCAACACAAGTCTGTTCGGCCAGACGGTCTCCTTCTGGCCTTTTAATTTATTTTTCTCCTTCCAGTTTAACCTAAAAGTTTTGGTGGTCAGGCGGTGCCTCCAGGACCTTTCTGCCACGCTCACTCCTCTTCGCGCGCGTGTAAAACAAACGTACATTATCTGTGTGCACTTCAGTCCCGATGGAAACTTTTCTCGGCCCCAAGGTTGTTTTAATTGCACAACCAGCTTTGCGCCGAGGATTGAAAACGGACCACGTCAAAATTGAATTCCATACATTCCCCCTTCACCATAGGATCGATTTGGTTTTGCGTTGGTTTTGTTGGAATTAAATTGGCTATGATTATGGTTATTATTCTTAGGTAGATTTATTTTGTCCCCTTTAGAAATGGTCCTTTTTTTTTTGTATTGTGCTTTTTACTGGAGTCGTCTTAGATGTCAATTTGTTTCTGTACAGTAAACAAGCACGGAGAAGATTAGCGAAAACCCCACAGTGTTGTTTTGCTAGTTTGAAACCCTCTGCCTTGTAGGTATATTATTAAAAAAAAGAAAAAAGAAAAAAAAGTACTGGACTTAGTGCTGCTAAGATTATCTCAAACCACCTTCCATGGACAACTTAAAGATACTCCTGTACATATGATGAGAAATATCAAGATCATTAAAATGCACATATCTTCTCAGCGAGATCAATGTCTTGACTAAAAGGGATAACTACAGTGTGGTTTATTTTGTATTGGGTACGACAGGAAAACAAACAAACAAACAAAACAAAAATACTTTGGACTATTATATGCACTTTCTTGGAAAGCTCGAAAAAGAAATAAGTCCAGTTACTTTATCCTTTAATACTTACTAACAGCAGAGAGACTGTAATTTTCTGCAAGTAATCAAATACATTTTTTTTCCTCCAACGGAGGAAACTGGATTGTGTGTGTGTGTTTTAACGAAGATGCTTTGTTTTAGAATATATATGATGGCCTTTTAGGTGAATGGGCCAGTTAAAAAGATGGGGAGGGAGAGAGAACGTGAAGAAGTGCTGAACAGGAGAGAGTTAAAGAGTGGAACTACAGCTCCTATCAGCCCCAGCAAGCAGGGGATGATGGGAAGAGCAAGCATGGATTTTCAAGTATTTTCTCGAGGGCTTTCCGTTGGTGCCAAATCCATGCCTTCTTAATCCTTCTTCGTTAGGTTTGTTACATTAAGAAATAGAAGACGGCCACTTTTCACAATAACTCCTATTTTATTGTTAAAAGTTTGGGATATTCTGTTGGGAGGACGATGCCATGCCCAGGGGATGGCTGAAAAAGGCCACATGGCAGTAGCATGTTGACACGTGTGTAAAATAAGGCAGGGTTTGTGAGCCCTTCTTTTCTGACACTTTTTGTGAGTGCTGAAAGGAGTCTTGCTTTTGTTTTTAATAATAATAATAATAATAATAATAATAATAATAATAATAATAATAATAATAATAATAATAATAATAATAATAATAATAATAATAATAATAATAAAAACTTGGTGACATGAAATCTCAGCCTCAGGCTTAAATGAGTACAAGTAGTCCTTGACTTACAACCACTTGTTTAGTGACCGTTCAAAGTTCCAATGGCATTGAAACAAGTAACGTAGGCTATTTTTTCACCCTTAATGATCGTTGCTACATCCCCGTGGTCACGTGATCAATATTTCAGATGCTTGACAACTGCTTCGTATTTACGATGGGTGGAGGATCCCCGGAGTCACGTGATTCCCTTTTGCGACCTTCTTAACAACTGGCGCGAGAAAGGTCACTAAATGGGGCAAAACGACTTCCTCTAGAAAGTTGAGGCTCAATTGTGGTGGTAAATGGAGGACTACCTGTATGTTAGTCTTTTTGTTCCCACCTGGTGGTGGTGTTGATATTCGGCCAGGAGCTTTTCGGATTTCTCGGCTGTGGTTGAATGATATTTTGAGGTCAGGAGAATATATATATATATATAAAATGAGTCCAGAGTCAACTATCTGTGAGTCGTTCATCTTGCTTTAGAAAATCAGAGAAAGAAATCAATTGTGCTTTTTCATTATTCAGCGATTTGTTAGACTTCGGTTCCATTTTGTGTTCTGGAGCAAAAAGTGTAGTAGACGCTGTGCTTCCTCTTCCCCTTCCGGCTTCCAAACCACAACTATAGGAAGTGGGTTGGGATAAATTATTGTTTATAGAAATTTGAAATTTTGAGGGAAGGAAGTGTGTTTTTTTTTTCATTCCCAATTCCCCCCCCCAAAGGAAAACTTGTAGAGAAAGGGAAAGAAAACATCCATGGAATACTTCCTGTGAAATGCTTGTTACAATGCTTATAATATACAATATGAAGATTGTAAACTTCGGTATTAAGCTAGGATTATTCTGGATTCCCTCGTAAACCTCTTGTAAGGTCCACCTTTCCATAGGAAGCTTCCATGTGTTGATGCCTTTTCTGTTCCTATCTTTGGATAGCAACACGATCCTTTGAAATAGTTCAAGTTTGCCTAGATAAGATAATCAATTAGACTTGTGTGTTTTTGTGTTTTTGCTTTGCTGAACTACCTGGTTCATGACCAGGTTTTTCACAATTCTGTCCTGGGCGTGGTTTATAGTAGCAGCCCCGAACCTTTAGGGCACCAGGGACTGGTTCCATGGAGAGAGGTTTTCCCCGCGGATCAGAGGGGGCGTGGTTTCACGTGCCACCTGCATCCTGTGGATGGGGCTTTACTTATTTTTTGTGCGGACTGGTTTTTGGCCTGCCGCAGCCCAGTGTCAGTCCAGAGACTGGTGGTTGGGGACCCCTGGTTAATAGAGAACAGTTTCCCATCGCATTTGGTTACCTGACCTTGGTTGATCCCCTAAAACAGGGGTTCCAAACTGGGGGTGCAAGATGATATTCCAAGTGGTGCAAAAACTTGGGTTTAGAAGTTTTAAAATTATAATGCCGTGGTGGCGAACCTCTGGCACGTGTGCCACAGGTGGCACACAGAGCCCTCTCTGTGGGCACGCAGGCCGTCGCCCCAGTCCTAGGCCTTCCGCTGGGTTTTATAAAACCTTTTCGCTTTAGGCCTCCGTCGCCGTGTGCAAAAAAAAGAGGTTCAATCAATCAGTCACATTTCAACCTCTCGCAGGGAAAAAATGATCTCGCAAAGTTGGAATTGATTGATTGAACTTTTTAGTCCCACCCAGTCTGCCATTACCACTGCAGCCACGCCCACCCAATGGGCCACACCCACCCAATGGGCCAAACCCATCCAATGGGCCACACTCACCCGGCACCCGACGATACATAAGTGGGTTTTGGGTTGCAGTTTGGGCACTCGGTCTCTAAAAGGTTCGCCATCAGTGGTGAAGTGGAATTTTCCTCCATTGTGATTTTCCCATGTATTTTACCAGGAAACATAGATAGGGCAGGCTAGAAAAGTCAGTACCTTCCTAACCATACCAAAGCACTCCGAATTTGTTGGCAATGTCCATTTTGCTCTCCGGGTTCATGGTGACGTAACCCTAACCCTATGTAGTGTATATGCATAATTCGTTTTGAACTTTTGTAAGGGGTGCGAGAATATATCATAAGCATTCTAGGGGTATAGAAAAGGTTGGGAACCACTGCCCTAAAAGCTAAGCAAGTGAGATGTTCTAGGCACGAATAGCTTCATGCATACAACAGCAGGGTTTGGAGGTTCCATGCTTAAACCGTGAGGTTTGGTCCACGCAGAGAATGAAAGAGAACTGTTTTGCTTAATGCGTGGACTAAAACTGGAAAAGAAAACCAACTCCAGGTTTATCATTGTTTTGAAATCATTACTATTACTACTTCAGATTTTTTTCCCTAGCTCGGCCTGGTGGCAGGACCTAACTAACCTTGGCTGGTCTCCAAAAGCTATGCAGACTGAGGCCTACTGAGGTCCTGGATGAGAGGCTATAGGGCTAGAACAGGAAATTGAAAATCATCCCACGAGAAGGTAATGACAAATGACGAATGCTCTCCTGCCGAGAAAACTGCAGGAATGTTCAACTTGAAGCAGGCTTCACCTTTTAGTTAAGTCTACATATAAAGGAGTGGGGTCTATCAGCAGATATTTGTACTCAGAAGTAAATCTCATTGATTTGAGTTTACTCCCAAGTAAGTGGTTCAGGTTCAAGTTACTGCAGGGAGCTGTTAGCCCCTGAAAAAAAATTTACTGACGAATCCCTGATTTAAGAGGTCTTGAAGTTTGTTGGGAAAAGGTCTAAAGCAGGGGCCTTCAAACTTGGCCCTTTTATGACTTGTGGACTTCAACTCTCAGGATTCCTCAGTCAGCGTGCCTGGCTGAGGAATTCTGGGAGTTGAAGTCCACAAGACATAAAAGGGCCAAGTTTGAAGACCCCTGGTCTAAAGTAAACACAAGGACAGACAAAATCCTCCTGTTTTCTTCATGTTCTTTGTTCGTATCAGATCACATCTGTGGAACTGTATCACCGCCATTGCACGTCCTTGAAAGAACAGTCGCTGCTTTCATTATTGCAACTGGCTTTTGGAAATTCCTTCTGTTCACTGGAGCTTTTGGGTGTGTTTGAGTTTGAGGGTTGTTGTTTTTGGTTTTTTTTAAAGTAATGCTTCATAATTTTTAAGCTCATCTGTCCGGACTTCCTTTTGAAGTTGGCCTTTGCATCATCCTGGGAGGATGCTGAGATTCGAGA